GATGGATGGTATGAAATGGGGATGGAATAAAATCAGTGGATAAGTGGAAGAATAAATAAATGAATGAATGAATGAATGGAAGAGTGCCGGTGGGCTTATCCCCAGTTTTTATCAAGATCTCTCTTCTTGCTTACTTAGGGTATCTCTTGTYGTAGTACGGAGCCTGAAGAATCCCAGCAGGAAAAACTAAAAAAGTTGATAAACAACAAATTAACATTATAAATATCACAGCTTTCTTCTTTTAGCTTGATGGGTAGCAGCAACGTTTGTAGATAGGTGTGGCTTGAGTTCTCAATAGCTTAGGACATAGTATTTCAACTTGGGGAAGATGAGAGAATCCAACCCAGAAAACAAAAGYAATAGATGAGTCAAAGGTGCAAGTTTTTAGAGGTGTTTTGGGAACTTATGAGCGATGAGCAACAGAATTTTACCCCTTAGTTCCTGAGGAAGAGTAACTTACTGCTTTGAAATATTTTCAAATATTTTTAAGTTGTTAGAGGTGACTATTTCCCACTGGACATTACATGGCTACTGCAAGGTCTGTGTTGTACTACTACGGATCTCACCGAACTATGACGACATGTCAAACATTTGTCTTGCTACCACACCCTAATTCGTCTACTGACACACCTACTTTTGTTACATGTATTACAGTCAATACCTTACTGGCAATGTGCTAGATCCAAGACAGTGACAAAAGTAGGTGTGTCGGTAAACGAATTAGGGTGTGGTAGCAAGACAAATTTTTGACTTGTCCCCACGGTTCGGTGAGATGCGTACTAATGGTTCTTACTTACCWATCTGGTTTCTTGAGGGGCTGTAATAGGCATTAACTGTCTGTGGGGTCATGAGCCACCTTAAATACATGAGATAAACAAAATTTTTTCAATGATTCAAACTGAAGCTGACATGATATTTTTCCATCAAGGATCCAGAAGTTCATTGGTTCATTTTGATGTTAGGTCGCTTGAGTAATATTACACACAATTTTGTGCTATGTTGCAATAATGTCATCACTTGTGTTCATGAGCTGACACACTTTATCGTGGCAGCAAAAATTCATTTATGAAAATGATTATTTTCACATGAAATGATTTTTGCCCCTGCAACCTAATCTCACATCCTCCCTGCAACTTGTCACCTAGTGCTTACCAACCTAGCGAATAAGAATCTGTCTCTGGTCTGTCTCTCTTTYCTCTCTTTTAGGTTTTTCATTAAGGGCAGGGGATCAGAGAATGCTCTGGAAACTAAGCAAAATTCTCTGGCTTAAACTACCATTAATTACTTARYAAYTTGTAAAATSCWGTMAYTTGRTCCCYAAGRMTCTCTGGCTAGTTCATGATCTTCTCTTATTAATTTCAAAACGTAATGAAAACTTTGATTTGTACTCTTCTTGTACTGCAATACAATTCTGGCTGCAAAACTACCAAACTGTTTACTCACTTGTTTTTATCTACTCCTTTCCGTAGCTGTTTCAAGTTCTTTTTCATTGAAAAGGCTGCACTGGTTTGGGAATTGTTAAAATATTCTGTGGGAGAAAACATGAGCTAAAAGGGAAAGGATATAAAAACAATTAATAATCTTAGTCACACTATAATTTATTTCAACCTCATTGCCAAGATAAGTTGGAGTTAGGTATTGGGGTGAGTTCTGGTTACACCAGACCATGCTAAACCATCAAGGTAACCAAGGCAACTGGGCCACAGCTCACGCTTTAAAGTGTGACATGCCTTACCATGGCCACCCAACTTATTTTATTTGCCTTGAATACTTTCCCGCCAAGTGTTGTCATCAATTTAAAAGACTTTTTACAAAAGTGTCCAGTGTTAGCCAGGGAAGGGGCCAAAATAGGTATCAACTTGGCAAAATCCAAGCCATTTATTTAAGTTTTTGTTGCAAAGAGTACAAAATAGTCTTAAATATGTGCAGTCACGCTGAGTGATTTCACACGCAAATGCACAAATTCTGGCTGACAGATTGGCTTACTAGTGAAAAATAAGTTGGGTGGCCACAATCAGGTGCGTGCATCACAGTGAACAACAGTCTCTATGGAGTTATTTGTACTTACTCCTTCGTATTTTTCATCAAGCTCCTTAGAGTCTGTGATGTATTCTGGATAACCAATCATATTGATGACGGCATTTGCCTACATCGCGAAAATATAAAACAATACCAGTATTATAGCAGTTGTTATAAATTATGTCATAAATCACTGTATTGGTCCAGGTACGTTGGACCAAGTGAGGCAGAGAAAAGTTACCTTCACAGTTCCCTGCGCCATCTTGAAAAGTAGTCGTGCCTTTGCATCGAAGCAAGATGAACGGTGAGCTTGCAATGATAGACATGTGAATAATTGTCCAAGGTGTTAAAAAAGGTCTCTATCATTGCACACTCACTGTTTGTCTCACTTCGATGGGAAGGAATGGCTACCTTCAAAGATGGTGCAGGGGACTGTGAAGGGGACTGCTGCATCCCCAATAACTTTGTGGCTTATCGGCTATGTCATACCATGCCTCTCACCTCTGTGGAAATGATTCCTGGACTCAACATCACATGACTGTTAGTATTGTTTATTAGGTATTTTACTTTATTCAAGAGTTTTTCTTAAAATTTCTCAGTTCATCTTCCCCTACCTCCCTCCTCAATACCTAGAAAACTAAATTCTAATTCAGTCTGTAAGTTAGCTGTGCCCTGCCTAAGATCAGCAAAGACTTTGCTTTGCAAAATTTGATAAAATACTTTAACCTCATAATTAACCACTTTGTCAATATTTTTCTTCATACTTTATCAATGGCAGCCCGTCTTGTCTTGTCATCCATCCAGTCTTGCAATGGAAGCCTTGCTTTGAAGGCAGCACGGATATCATTGATCATCTTTGTTGCCTGAGGAATTAGTTAACAAACACTTAAAAATGTTGTTCCTCTATCACATTCAGTAAATTAACTATTTAATTAAGTAAGATGGATCGAGCTTAAGGGAAGATGGCAGAGCTTCAGATAAGTGTCATGTAAAAACCTGTATCTTGAAAGCAAATATCACCCATCCTAGTTAAAGATTTTTTTTGTAACAAATTAACCTAGAGCGAAGGTCATGCCCTTAAAGACAAAAAGTTGAAATAAGGTGTATTCAAAACTTAGTAGAAGAACCAGTCATTTATCTAAGTTTTTTCATCTTTTCACGGTGTAAAATTTACCCTTTTATAATTACTGTTTCATTAGAAACACCGACGCAGCTCACACTAGTTTTTTTTAGCTAGTTATCTCTTCATTTATCTAAATGATTGCTAATAACGAGAATCAATGCATTTTTATTAAAAATCCTCACATCTGTTCTGCTAGATCCTTCAAACTTTTCCTTGACAAACAGATTCCCAAGTGCCATGCCGACTGCAGAATCATCAGTTTCAGAGATACATGT